TTTTTGGTTTTTTGATTTTTGAGACAGGGTCTCAATACGTAGAGACTGACCTGGAACTCACTATATAGCCCAGGCTGGTCTCAAACTCTCAGCGATCCTCCTGCCTCAGCTTCCCAAGTGCTGGCATTACAGGTGTGTGCCACCACGCCCGGCCTTCAGCCTCATTTCTGTCACCTAATAGTTCTAAATTCCATTCCTTTTCTCAATTAGCTTCTAAGATTTTTCAACAATAAGGTAAGAAATGGATTTTTATTATATTTTCCTATAAGAGGCAGAGTTAAATAATGTCAGAAAACATCATACTGATTTTTAAAATAGCTACAAAACAAATGTAATTCGAGTTCTACTATATGATTAATTCTAATTCTGCTATATGTATTCTTATTTTCTTAATATATCTGACTCAGTACTAAAGCCATGTTTTAATTTTTTTTGTTTCCAGCAAATAAATACCATAAAAAACTGCTATATTTTTTTCTGAAAGTTGAGTATTTATTTGGATTATAGTAATTGGCAAAATTCAGTCTTGGAGGCAAAAGTACCTCTCCCCATTGCAGTCAGCCTGGAGAAAGGGCCTTGCAGGGAAGGGTGGGGATTCACACTGTGGATGCTGTCTGAGAAAGTGAGCACCATGAGGCCACCCCAGCTGCAGCTTCCTGGGGACAGCAGAATCCCCTCCAGCAGCTCCGGCGATACCATGGTGCTCTGAGCAGTTCAGGCCAGCAATCTCTTGAAGTGTGTTTTGCCTTCCCAAGCTTACTTGGTCTACATGGACCGAGATAAAATGGTCAATATTGTTTCCCCAGGGTGCTGACATCTTAGAAGTATTAATGTTCTTTTTACCCTCATTGTCAAGGGATGGTTTCCTCTTAATCAAAAGTCAGTCGGTCCATCCTGAGAACATAGTGGAAACAGATTTAATAGCTTTTCCTCATGAGACAAGGAGTTAACTATCTAAAACATAATTAACAACAGGATGTCAGTCAACAAGTGTACTTTTTGTTCCATGTCTGGAGAGTTTAGTTGCCTACAATTTAATAGGGGTCATGATGCTAGTTATCAAACCAACAGTCTTGACCTGACCTCTAAAAGTGGTTGTAAAATGGTGCCTAGTAAATTAAGATACGGGTTGTGATCGAAAAATGCAGAGAATGTTTAAAAATTTCACAATAAAAGACACATCGTATTAATCCCCCTCAAAACACTCCGCTTCCCTTCAAACACACTTATCCCATTATTCCTGCCACTTTCTAAAGCCCCTTTGAAAGTCCTCTTGCATGAGCATCTTCTGTTGCACTCTCACAACGGCCTCAGTGTCCTGAATCAATTCAAAACATTTACCTTTCATGGTCATTTCGACTTTGGGGAAGAGCCAGAGGTGGCGTGGTACCAGATCTGGTGAGTAAGGTGGATGAGGACGCGCTGTAGTGCTTTTATGAGCCTGCCTGCTCACTGAACAGTACTTGGCTGCAGTATTCACCGTATTGTTGATTTCACCTCATAAAGACACAAAGAGGACTTCCAGAACTGCTTCAGAGAGTGGCAAGAGTGATGGAATAAGTGTGTTCGAAGAAAGGGGGCACAGTCTGAGGGGGATCGGTAGCAATGTGTCTTTTACTGTAACGAATGTTTTTATTGAAACATTCACTGTATATTTTGATCACTCATTGCTGATGTCAGATTCCTGTAAGGAAGCTGGCCTATGTCATTACTATGAAGTGGGCATTCAGGTTTGAGGCTAGGACTTTAAAGTAAGAAGATAAATACCATCCTGGGCATGAGGGAAGATGTGTGTTCATTTATTATATACACAAGGTAAGAGTGACTCACTTCACTCACATCACACTTGGCTGGAGACTTTAAATTCCTTTTCAAAAACAAAACTATTGTACCACAGGGTAAAGGTTTTATTATCCTTAATAATAGGATTGAATATGCCAAGGCAAGGAAGCTGAAAATGAGATCTGCTGATCCCAGTGCCAAGACAGGGGTTATCAAATGCCATACTGGATCTCTTTGATGGGATTTCCAATGATACAGAGGCCTGGAAACTGAGAGAGGCATGGCAAGGAAGTATCTGGCTCCAACCAGGAGAAGCAGCAGATGTCATGCTAGATCTCCCAAGAAGCAGAACTATGTCAGGACATGGGCACTTGCTATTCTTCTCCTAGTCTATTGTTGCTGGAATATTAAGTGAAGTAAAAGCACTAAGTACTTAAGGAAAGAGGTGACCATCTTGGCTCTCTCCCACACAGGCCACTGCCAGTAGTGTGGAGGAGCCAGCAGAGTCACTGCCTGTTTTACGCATCATCTCTAAACAACCAAAATTGGTCAAACAAATCCCTAAAGATGAAATGCAAGTCACAAACCTTCGACCTGAATTCAAATTCTTAACAGTAGCAGAGTGCATGAATCTTGTTCCCTGTATCCATTCTTCCCTCTTTCCAATTCACTCAAATCTGTTCCTATTTACTTTGCTCTCCCATTTGTCAGATTTATCTCTTCCTGCCCTGATACTTAGAGGAGAAGAAAAAGGCTGTTTCACCTCAAGACCCAAACTAAACATAGTGCCTCTTTCTCACTAAAGCCCTCCACTTGGCCTATTTTAAAAGAATTGACAGGATATTGACTCAGAATTCTCTGCCTTTCTCTCTGCTGACCCCCAGCCAGATGTGGGGGGATTGAAAACAACATGATGATTGCCCAGATGTCTTCCCTGGAGTATTGCACCAACCAAACAGTGCCCCCCAACCCTATACTATTGAAGCACACAATTGCCAGTAGATATAGGCACAAGTCTCCATAGCTCTCTATAGGCAGATCATCCAGCTTTCTCAAACCAGAAGAAAACATGAAGATCCTAGCTGCTCCAGCTGCCCTTTCAATATTAACACTTCCATTTCGCTAAAACATAGATCTCTCTCCCCAAAGGAGACATCAATGGCATTAACAAGCCTCTCATCATTGGGCTAGTTATATTTCTCATGATCCATAGTCCTCATGATCAAGTTGATTCCCCTCTTTAAAAAGATTAGCTTTTTAAACTTTTCCTCTGGTCTTTTTCTGCTCCCTCAGGTCATGGATTATATGGGACTTTTGAAATGTTATCCTCCTGGAGGAAGACTAAAGAAGACCAACATGTTAAAGAGCGAACTGCAGCAGTCTATGCAGACTCCATGCTCTCCTTTTCTCTCACCACTGCCATGTACCTGGTCACCTTTGGCATAGGGGCCAGCCCTTTCACGAACATTGAGGCAGCCAGAATTTTCTGCTGCAATTCCTGTATTGCAATCCTCTTCAACTACCTCTATGTACTCTCGTTTTACGGTTCCAGCCTTGTGTTCACTGGCTACATAGAAAACAATTACCAGCATAGTATCTTCTGTAGAAAAGTCCCGAAACCTGAGGTATTGCAGGAGAAACCGGCATGGTACAGGTTTCTCCTAACCGCCAGATTCAGTGAGGACACAACTGAAGGCGAGGAAGCGAACACTTACGAGAGTCACCTATTGGTATGTTTCCTCAAACGCTATTACTGTGACTGGATAACCAACACCTATGTCAAGCCTTTTGTAGTCCTCTTTTACCTTATTTATATTTCCTTTGCCTTAATGGGCTATCTGCAGGTCAGTGAAGGGTCAGACCTTAGAAATATCGTAGCAACTGCGACGCAAACCATAGAGTACACTACTGCCCAGCAAAAGCACTTTAGCAACTACAGTCCTGTGATTGGGTTTTACATATATGAGTCCATAGAATACTGGAACACAAGTGTCCAAGAAGACGTTCTAGAATACACGAAGGGGTTTGTGCGAATATCCTGGTTTGAAAGCTATTTAAATTACCTTCGGAAACTCAATGTAACCACTGGCTTGCCTAAGAAAAATTTTACAGACATGTTGAGGAATTCCTTTTTGAAAACCCCCCAATTTTCACATTTTCAAGAGGACATCATCTTCTCTAAAAAGTACAATGATGAGGTTGATGTAGTGGCCTCCAGAATGTTTCTGGTAGCCAAGACCATGGAAACCAAAAGAGAAGAACTCTATGATCTCTTAGAAACCCTGAGGAGACTTTCAGTCACCTCCAAGGTGAAGTTCATTGTGTTCAATCCATCTTTTGTGTACATGGATCGATATGCCTCCTCTCTGGGAGCCCCCCTGCACAATTCCTGCATCAGTGCTTTGTTCCTGCTCTTCTTTTCAGCATTCCTGGTAGCAGATTCTCTGATTAACGTCTGGATCACTATAACAGTTGTATCTGTGGAGTTTGGAGTGATAGGTTTCATGACCTTATGGAAGGTAGAACTGGACTGCATTTCTGTGCTATGCTTAATTTATGGAATTAATTATACAATTGACAATTGTGCTCCACTGTTATCCACATTTGTTTTGGGCAAGGATTTCACAAGAACTAAATGGGTTAAAAATGCCCTGGAAGTGCATGGGGTAGCTATTTTACAGAGCTACCTCTGCTATATTGTTGGTCTGATTCCTCTCGCAGCTGTGCCTTCAAATCTGACCTGTACACTGTTCAGGTGCTTGTTTTTAATAGCATTTGTCACCTTCTTTCACTGCTTTGCCATTTTACCTGTGATACTGACTTTCCTGCCACCCTCTAAGAAGAAAAGGAAAGAGAAGAAAAATCCTGAAAACCGGGAAGAAATTGAATGTGTAGAAATGGTGGATATCGATAGTACCCGAGTGGTTGACCAAATTACAACAGTGTGACAGTGTCTGCTTGGTATAGTTTCACCCTAGGTCTTATCAAGAGCAAAGTGATTATGTTACTGAAGCAGCTACATTCAAGATCGTTCCCTTTTTTAAGGATGAGAAGGCATTACAAAAAAGTAAAGGACAAGGGGGGTAACTGGCATGGCAAATTTTCAATCTTTAAAACAAAAAGGTTGTTAAAAGAATGAATTCACATGCACGCACGCACACACACATGCACATGCACACACGTGGACCTTAGGAGACTTATAGTCTCTTAAGATCAAATAGAAGAAAGCTTATTAACAGGCAGGATCCTATTTTATCAATACTGCAGATGTTGCTGGTATTGTGATAAAAGCAACTGATTGAAAGGTCAGCTGCCAAGGCAGAAATAGCTTTAAGCATTATTCAAACAACAAGGCTTTCAAAATTTTCCCAGGGCAGTAGCTGTAGTCATTGTCTGTGGTTTGAGGTCTTGGCTGTCTCAACGAACTACCCAACACCTAAGGAGATGTTTTTGAAAATTCTGACCAGCAAAATCAAGCCAAAACCTCAAAGCAGACGTGGTAGAGTGGTCATCACCCATGATCTGAAATTGAGTCACCCCTGAATTCACCTGGGTGAGGCAGTTTTGCTGTCTAGAATGAATGCATCATGTTCCCCGTTGATATACTTTTAACATTTGTGTAGTTCAGTTAATACACCTAAAAAACAATGCCAGCTTGAGCATTACAGAATTGGGGCAATTCTATTTTGGAATATTTTGTCACTTCTCTCCAAATGGGCCTGCTTTATTAGTTACAGCTTTTGGCAGGAGGCTCTAGGGACATAAAATCACAACTTCAAACCCAAATACCTGGCATGATGGAGAAAAGCAGGTGTCCACTTGAACCTAGGGACAGTTTCTCCATTTTAACAACAACAACAACGAAAGCCAGCTGGTACAGCTGTTTGTGGTTTGGCCCTACATGCATTTTTGCATGGATGCCCAGAAACAACATCTGCCCATATATAGAAGAGAATGGGAAGATGAGTGCTGAAATAGTTATTTGCCATAGTTGCCAATTTGTAGTACCAGTCTGCTTTTGCTATGGGCCATGATTTCTCAGGGACTTAAGAATGGGGGAAAAGATCTTTAATGACTCTAAATCCTGACATGGAGAAACTTTATAGAAGTATAAGGAGATAAAGAGCCAAAAAGAAAATAGATGTAAATTACCAGGAAAAGTAGTCACCCATACAAATCTATTAACAATAGCAGTCAAACTTTCCTGCTAAATTGGCTATCCTTTACCTCTATCCCCCCAACACACCTTTTTTGGTGCCCCTCTACTTCACTCCAAGGCCCTTCTTGTACATTAGCAAGCCCAGATATTTATATGTTGACTTGCAAAATCAATGGGGGAAGTGGTTCATAGGTCCAAAGAGAAATGTTTTGTTCTGAAGAAATCTATAAGAATAAAACTAAAACCTGGTTATAGTTGAGGCAAACATCTGCAGTATTTTCTCCTTGTAGAGATGTGGCTTCTTTAGACATCTATAGTGGTATGCATTTCCCAAAAGCATCTTACCTTTCTGGCCTTTAGCAGAGATATTGTGTGACTTCTCCATCCTCCTCAGAGATCCTCTAGGTCTTCTGAGACCTAGCAGAATAAAATGACTCACCCAGGTCACCCCACTAGAGAATTCTCATCATTTTAGTGTGCCTAAGACAAGGCAGCTCAATATTAGGTTTTCTCATAAGACAAATATTACCCCCCTTGAAATACATTTCTAAGACAGGAACATAGGACTTTATTGCCACTGGGCAGACACTTTTTAAATGTTTTGGATGAAAATGTTTGGGCTTTCAGTTTGCCATTGTCTTTCTAAATAGCAAAAAAAAAACACACACACACACAAAAAAAACAAATGATTCAGATGTAAACACACCAAGTGCAAACCTGTGCTTTCTATTTCACGTGCTGTTGTCCTCACAGTTTTAAATACACGTGCAGGGGAATCCTAGCTAGTGCATTCCACACTTGTTCAGTCACCCCTAATTCAGCCACACTAAGTGATCACACTAACGTGTTATATGCTCAACAAGAAGATAATGAGCTTTAATCTGAGGACAAATACAGTTCTCACAAAAGGGCACGTTTGCATAATAGATCTTCAATCAATTCTCTCTCCTAGGGGCCTGCAACAAGGCTATTATTTATAAAACACAACTGAAGAGGGGATTGGTTTTATTCTTAAATCATATGTTGCTAAATCATTTTCTGAACAGTGTGTTCTAAATCAGCCATTGATTTAGTGTCAGCCACATGGAGCACCTCAACTTACAATGACTCCACAAAACTGACATAACACACACACCAATTAAATGGATTTTGTTGAGAATTTAATTATTCAATTTGGTCAACCAGAATGACTTACTATGGAACTTTGTTTTATGACAGATAGTAGTTTTCCAAGTTGATTGAGTCTCTGTATTCCCTGGGATATTGTATTTTTAAATGAAGGGCATTTTCAAACTTGTCAACTTCTCTTTTCAGCACTTGAAATCAAGGCTTCTGAAACTCTGACTGTGAAATGAATTTTTCTATTGGGGGACTATGCATGCCAAGATTTATTATTTATTGTTAGATAATTATTATTTGTTCCTGTTGATTATTGCTCTGACAGCATTGATTTAGCCCCACCATGGAGAAGACACTTTAGGAGAATCTCAAAATTACATCTCCATAAAATTTAAGTCTTGTTCTTTTTGAATTGCTACAAAGAGGGAAAAAAGATCCCACTGGAAGGTTTTTTTCTTTTAAGTCCAACCAAGACATTAATGTCCGCTTTACCAAAGAAACTTATTTGGTTGGTTTCGATTTAGTGTTTGTTGTTTGTTTACCAAAGACAACATTCCAGTCATCAGAAATATTTCTCCTGGTCAACTGAAAAACTGTGATACATGCTGGTTTCTTGGCCTTCATAAGGAAAATAAGAAAAGCCAAGGTAAGGATGACAATATTTTCTTGTTGAGTGAAATTCAGCAGAAGATGTGAATTCACAAGGAACTTGGGATTTGGAAGAAATAAAATGATACCTGAAATAGGGCATTATTGGTTAGTCCTGCAGCAGTGTTCCAACAAGTAGCATCAGGGCTCCTCAAGCCAAAGGAAGTACAATTGGTTCCACAGAAAATATAAGACAAACCTTCATGAAAATTCCTATGCATTGCTCCAGCTTATAAGTTTTCTTTTGTTTTAGATTACTCTTTCTTTCCTTTCTTTCTTTCTTGCCTTTGTATTGCTTTTATTTTAATGTGTGGTTTATGTTTGTTTTGTTTCTTCCCATCCTACCACTTTTACCCCTTCAATTATTAGTTAGAAGTCAGATAACCAGATGCAATCGTCCAGGGCCACAGTTATTTATACAATGTGCTACTCTGAAGAAGCCCCTTGAGAATAATTTTATTTTAAGTAACCACCATCTAATTGTAAGTGGCATTCTGTGACCATGACACTACTTTTCCTCCAGCCCCAGCAACAGAGTTTAGCTGTGTCCTTCACAAGAACAGGCAGGATAGAGAGCTGCCTTGGAGTGTGGCAGGAGAGAGAGCCTCTTGACCACACATTGGTAGCCTCATAATGGATTTATTATTTGGAGCCTATTAAAGTATCCCTGCAGCTTGTAGTAGTGTTTGACCTCTGTGAATTTGTTTTGTCATCTATAAAATGGGGAAAATAACAACAAATGTCTTTCAATTCAGCAAATATTTATTGGGTGCCTAATATTGCCCATATACTGTTACAGACTGGAGACACAAGAGTTAAAAAAATCAGATAAAAAATAATCTGCCCTCCTAGAGTCTGCATTTGAGTGATGTGGCAAGTTTGCTGTGAGGATTAAGTGGCATGACATTTGGAAAGCAAGGACTGGCAAAAAGTAGGAACCCAAGATATTATTGTTAACTTGTCAATCTCACATAGTAGCATTAGGGCTGAGGATCTAAAGCTACAGAAGCAGATGGGACACAAGATTAGGGCTAAATAAACATGCAATGGGTTGTCACAGAAGGTAGTTTAATTCCTGATCATTTTAGGACATTGAAAATTAGGTTGGATCACCACTTTGTAGAATAATTGTAAAGGAGGTATAAGCCCTAAATGTTGGGGTTGGACGTTGACCTTGAAAATGGGATACAGGCACTTGGGATGGGGGTGGGGAGGGAACAACACTGATTATTAGCTATGCCTGGCTTGTCTAAAGACATTTGAATGTTTCCTTTGGGTAATTTGCTTTTAAGTTTATGCTAAATAAAAAGCACCTAGAATCTGAAGACAAAGTTCCGATTTTAAAAAATGGGAAAGATGTAATACAAAGGACGATATTAAATTAGTACTATATTGGATTGGCTGGCAAAGAACTGAGAATGGCTACAGCTAGCATATTACCAAGTTCCTCCCTTGTGGTGGTTACAACTGTTTATTTCTGTTTTATGCCAATCCAGGAGAAACCAAAGAGGAAAGTGAATGAGCTCGAATCTGTTCACCCGAAAAGGCAGTGTCAGGATGTCCTCCCCAGCCCAGCTCTCATCTGCCCCCGTTCGTTCTGCCCAGGTGATCTGTTTGAGGTCTTCCTTGATACCTATGGGAGTGCCAAACAAGGAAAAGGAAGTGAAACGACCAGAGAGCTCTGGCCTCTGTGCAGACTTCTGAGTTAGTTTAAAATTAGCACCGTGAGGTTTGAAGAAGCCTACCTGGTGGGGAAACAAGGCTTCTTTTCAAAGCACAAAGAAAGCAATGTGTACCAAGGAGGCAACCCACAGAGGAACCTTGGTGGAAAGGAATGAAGTTCCTATGGAATGTGCCAGCTTCTTCTCCCTCCCAAATATTGACACCAGATGCATCTTTGGATATAAATCAGCCTACCCCCTCGTTTTTCATGTGAGAAATCTTAAACCTGGAGAAATGAATTTCTATCCACAGAGCTAGTTAGAAGCAGATACAGAACTGTAAATGAAGTCTAGTTTCTAGCCTCAGTTTTTTCTCCATTGTGCCACTTTACTGCCAAATTCTGTGTATCTAAAATTCGGGGTCTCAACCTGGGGGTTGTGAATGAGTTGCGAGAGGGAGGAACTCTGAGCTCCCTAAAATTAAATCATATGCGAAAATGTGTGTATATGTTCAATATGTGCATTTTCTTACATAGAGGGTTCGTAGTTGTCATCAGATTCTGAAAAAGGTCTGTGACATGAAAAGGGGGAAGGACCACTGTCCTAAGTTAATAAAGACCTCTTTGGGAGTGTGATCCTGGTGTCCTCGTTTTACCTAATGGGCAGTCAAAAACTTCTCAACCATCTTTTCTCCGAGGAACCAAACTTTTTCTAAATACTGGTTCATGCCAAGCCCAGTGCCTAGTTCTGTTCATCTTCATTCATCCTTTAACTCTTTCATTTGTTTATCCTGCACTTGATCATAGCCAAAAGGCTGAGAAGTGATCATTTGTTTATTCTGAAACACTTTTCAGTGCTAATTTATTCCCAACACCCGCTAAACATGACTGCCATGGCAGGACCAGGAAAGAACCCTTCTGCATCGTGCCCTTGTTGACAGAAGGATATATCCTCACTATTGCAACAAAATATATATAGCCTCAAAATTACAGTAACCTCCGTACACACATACACAGAGTAGGGGCTGACATATAGCAGTGTGCCTTGTCAAAGAACGAGGGAAAGAGCAGCCTATTTCCAGGTTGTACAGCAGCAACATACCACATCCTTGGAGAGGCTGCTCCCAAGTGAGCCCTACTGTAAAATGCACATCAGGCATACTTGAACAAATGTAGCAACTGACTCTCCAACAAACAGAAAGAATAAGTCTCGTTCATCTTGATAATGTTGGTAGTGGGAGAATAACTCATGGCTATAAACAGATAAATTCATTTAAAGACAGGTATGTGTCTTGGACACAGATATGCAAATAGAATTTTAGTTCTCTTGACTACTGGTCAGAAGCAAGATACAGAATAGGCTGATGGAAGAAATTGGGGAATAAATGACTCTACTTGTCCTTGTTGGCTTTGCTTCTGGTATAACTTTAGGCACAACAGAATCTACCAGGGTTGGCTACAGGCAAGCCTGAGGGAATCTCCCCTTGGCCTTTCCTGAAACATAAAGAACTCATCAGCACCACTTGTATCGCCCTCTACCCAGTCATCGGGAGACTCCTTTTCAGATGGAGGAACATTAGTCCTACACTGTAGCATCTGTTGTGAGGTTTAAGGGCTTTATTCTTTAAGATCTACAATGCTTTGTGTAATTCCTAGAAAATGGCAAAACAACCCATTTACATTTCCCATTCCAGCATCATCCTTGGGGGAAAAAAAATTCTCTGTCAAAATAACGTTCTTTATATTCTAAAATGACCTCTGAACTTGTTTGTTTCAGCCTTTCAGATATTTATTTTTAAAGTTAACATGCTGCAAAAATTGCCTTTGTCTGCTATCCTAGAATCACCAAGACAGTTGTCAGGATTATGGATGACTGGGCAAAACTGGCAAGACCCATTGGCTCTGTTTGTGTGACACAAACACATACAATGCATACACACATGAGTATACACACAGACATAAATATGCACACATACATGCATGTACACACATAAGCATACCATCTTTTACAATATTCCTGATACATGTGGGGCACTTTAGCATATCTTAGCAGGTCCAGCCCTGTGGTTTTGTAGGTTTGTGAGGTTTGTCTGTAAGACATCCTAAAATAAAACTTCCTTTTCTGTGTTTCGTGGGTGTGAACACATCTGAAAGCAGCCAAAAAATAAAAGAAACCTGGAAAAGTAAACACACTTCAATTTATGAATTGCTCACTAATAGTTTCACAGTGGAAAAACTATATTTGATGAACTTTCCC